TATGTATGTATGTATGTATGTATAAATTTTTAAATATATTTTTTCTCCCCCACTTTGAACGTTTGAAACGTTATAAGTATGTTTTTTCTCCTTGCAGTCACTTCATTTCTTAGCTGGTGTGCAGCACAGTTGAATTACCCCTCATGGTAATACGACCTGGTGCGCCCCCTGCAGGAATAAGGAGGTGTTACACCTCCCGGTTAATTCTGCAGCAACTGCACCAATGATTTAGGTTGTTTTGTCATTAAGTTTCCCTAACTTAAATAAAATGCACTGAACACAAACGGATTGAAGATGTTTTTGTTGTGTTATAAAAGCATTCATTTATGAAGCACTTATTATAATAAAGTTATAAACAGCTTAATGCAAACCTATAGACAGGCTCCTATCTGCAGTGAGACCAAACGACATGACGTAATGACAACAGTCTAGGGTGTCATGCAGTGATGTTGCTATTATGCCAATCCACTTTAAAACAAGGATTGTGGATTATTAAACAAATCCCAGTCATCGGATAGTTAACCATTAATCTACTTATTACAGCCTTTGCATTAGAGTAAAGCCTATTAGTAAGACAGAGACAAATGCCACAGCAGAGGAAACAAAGACAGAATAAAAGTGTGCAAACTCACATGAGGCTGGGGGATTGTGATCTTGTCCGGATGCTCGTTGTCTTTCTCGGGCTTCTGCGCCGACACCGGCTGGAAGGTGATCTTCACCATGTTTGCTAGCTCAGTGTATGAGTTGTCTTGGTCTCCTGTCTGCTCGGAGCGATGCTTTCCTCCTCCCCGGCCGGTGGAGATTATATAGCAGCGTAGCGCGTCGCCCCCGGGGATGGGTGACCTCAGAACGGCGTCTTCTCTGACGAACGAGCGCTGCGTGGGCCGGAGGGAAAAGCCTCCTCGGCGCTGTCAGAATAAAACCCTGCGTCAGGCGGAACACTTATAAATCGCAGAAAATCCAACTGTTTTAGGCCATTTGTGCTAAAAATGATTTTAAATGAATAACCAACGCCTTTCCATTTGAAGACAACAAATTTAAGTCCATATTTGTGGCTATTGCGATAAGCCGCGCTCTTATTTTGAAGTCGAGCTCCGAATATGGTAGAGATTTCCGCATTTTATTTAAAGATGAATGTCCTTCTCATAACCAAGTCCCGAACACTATCATCCGGAAATGTTGTGATGCTTCAAATTGGCTCAGACAGCATCTATACTGCAATAAAMTTATCAGCTCCTGGAGGGTGATTATAATGTTTGGGCTGATCTGTATGTAAACAGTTTAAACTGTACTATCCTATGAACTATAATAATAGTATAATATTAATTGAGATTGTACTATCCTACTATGAACTATTATTATAATAATAATATAATATTAATGTGAAGAATTAACGAATATTTGTGGTAGCAATATGATGTTTTAAAACAATAGATGAAAAAAATATCTATTAAGAATGTCAACTTTTAGTTTAGGTTAGAATAGTGTTTTCCACAAATAGAATCCACCTATTTAACATGAGTACAAACTAATAAAAGCCTACATAAAAATAACATAAAGTTCTGGTCACTGTTTGTGAAAAGTATTCATATGATTTACTATCATTGTAGTTTTTAGTGTGTTGAATTTGGATCACAATGCAGATAAAAAGCAAATAATTGCTAGAACAGGGTGATGTGTAAATTGCAAGCCCTGTTTTATGGTTTTCGGATTGTTTACTTTGTATGCTGCATGGGATTTATATGTTTTAGATATTAAATTGTTATATTACACCATTACAAACATGTCTTTCTACACATTTGCCTAGGAGGCAATAACTTAATGGAGAACAATTTTTAAAACCCCTGTGGAAACTGAATAATTGCGAATCAGGGTTGCTACTCAAGCAGAAAGTGAAGTCTCTATGGGACCTGTTAGTGACAAAAGGCACGAAACAATGTGAAAATTTGGTTTGAATAAGTTCAATTTGGTATTTTTATTATATAAGACTGGTGATGCTCTCAGCGACGAATGCATAAAACCATCCATCTCCTTCCCAGAGCTGGTATCTATCAGAATTCACGAGGCGAGGTGCCCTTGGCAGGTTGTAAGCCTCGCAAGTCCCACTCTCACCGAGGGACAGAGGTACCAATTAACCTAGCATGCAGTGCTGGCTCTAGCCATTTTGGTGCCCTAGGCGACTTGAAGCGCAACCAGGTAAACGTCCGAAGAGGTTGACATGTACGGGACAACACTTGTTATTGAGTTTGTCAACACGAACCGCTACCTGAGAGGCGCTACTAGCCCCTCCCCCGTCAGAGTGTCGGAGCAGGACGAGTCAGTGCAACGTCAATCAAATGAGAGAGAGGGTGGGGGCGATTGCTGCATTGGGGGGGAAAAAATGTTTTACGGATAGAGTAGTTTATTTTTCCTGTAATACTTCACTATAGTTTTTTAAGACAAAGCTACCTGAAAGGGGCGCTGAGCAGATTTACAACCAGGGATTACAAATAATTACTTTTTTCTTCTGCAGTTCGGCGCCCCCTCTAGCAGATGGCGCTCTAGGCGACCGCCTAGTTTGCCTATGCCAAGAGCCGGCTGTGCTAACATGCATGTTTTTAGTTTGTGAGAGAAAACCCACTTGTACTTTAGGAGAACAYTCACCCAGAAAGGCCACACTGGGAAGCGATCCTGCAACTTTCTGAGAGGCAACTGCGATTACCACTGCTGTCTGTGCAATAATTTTTACTGTTACTGTTCATTGTCATTACTCATCTGAACAATCATTTGCACTACCGCTCATTTATATTATTACTTGAACAATCCGTTGCTCTGTTATGACTCAATTTACACTTTTAAAATAATTCTGCTGTAATTGCATATCTGTGGTTGTCTGCACTGTGATAGTTAATAGTCTGTTGATTATGTTTTTGCACTGAAAATAAGCATTCTGATGTCAGATTCTGATAGTTTACTGTCTCTAAAACAAAACAAATCTTTTTTTAATTCTTGCACAATTCTTTATAATGTCGTATCATTGCTAACCAGTGTTAATTTTGTTTTTTTATACTGTCTATAGTTTGTAAATTTACTAGCATGTGTGAACCTCTGTGACACCTGAATTAGGTGGGACAATAAAGGCTATTTCTACCACCGTGACATCTTAAAAACAACAGTTTGTTCATTTGCATTCACAAGGTTGTGTTTTGTAAAGATTGTCATAAGTTGTATTTCAGATTTGGAGAGCCAAGTATTTTTTGAGGTGGTACGCATTATCAAGTTTTCAGAATCACTGGGGTAATTCACATTAGCTTTTATTTTTAAATTGGGGAGATGTGAGCTGATGGTTCCCAATTAAGGTTAAAATTATAGCCAATCAACTAATGATCTAATGTGAGAACTGGCTGATATTTAGCCCTATAGTGGTGAGGTGGGTGCTTCAATGTTAATTGAAAAAAATGTTTCACAGAATAAGATGCTTTACTTCAGCTAGATCAGATTTTGCATGTCCTAAATCCATGGTGGTTCAAAGGGACAACGACAGGACGCCCCCCTTCAGTTCCTCACAGCCAGGTCTCATTCTCATGTAAATGAGGGGACATATAAACACCCAGCACATGTTGCCCCTCTGACCATCTGTCTTCGCCTCTAACGGCTCTCCGGACCCCCCAGCCTCCAGCACACGCGTCATGGCTCCAACTCGCAGCAGCGCAGGCAGGACGGGAAGAGGCGACACGGGAGTTAAACCCGACAGAAAGGTAACTTGATCTCAGCACAAAGTCTCTGCTGCAGGTCTGCGTTTGAAACGGGACACGTTTTGTTTTTACAGATGAGAAAYCCTCTGGTCGAAAAGAAAAGGAGGAGTCGCATCAACGAGAGTCTGCAGGAGCTCAGACTTCTCATCGCTGATTCGGATGTAGGATAATTAGCTTTTTTTTTCATCGCATGTGTTTCAGTTAAGCTATTGGCTTCATGTTTTATTTATTTATTTTTATTATTTTATTTTTTTACAGTCGAAGATGGAGAACGCCGAAGTTCTAGAGGTGACGGTGAAACAAGTCGAAAACATCCTACAAAACCGCGCTCAAGGTAAACCTTCGCGTAGGAAAAATAGTTCGTTTAAGAGTCCACTGGCGGATTAATATCAACTGTTTAATTAATGCCAGCGCAGGTGCGCTTCGACCACGGCTCAGCCAATCAGAACACAGAATTAGCCGAGCGTTGTTTTTTAAAAAAAATGACGCCCATCTCTATGTTTGACCCCCAACCCAGAGGTGGACGCCCTGAACAGGGAAGCTAGCGAGCGGTTTGCCGCCGGCTACATCCAGTGCATGCACGACGTGCACACATTTGTGTCCAGCTGTCCGGGAATGGACCCCGCGGTGGCGGCGGAGCTGCTGAACCAGCTCCTGGAGAGCATGCCCCTCAACGACGAGCTCCGGGAGATGCTGCCGGAGACGGGGGCTAACAACCACAACATGCCGGCCTGTAGCGACGGCGCCGGGCTCCTGGACACGACCCTGGTGTCGCCGGCTCCGTCCTCCACCGACGACCCCAGCTCAGACCTGGATGAAACAGACTCAGAACCGAGCCATGCTTCCTCCTCCTCCTCCTCCTCCTCCTCCTCCTCCTCCTCAGAGGAGGCAGACAGTCCGGACGGCATGGCTAGTTTAACTTTATTCAAGTGTATGTGGAGACCCTGGTAAACCACTTAACTACAATAGTTTCAACAAAGTGCTTGGTAACAAAACACTGACAACTATAGTTTCTTTGTATAAGTTTTTATACTACAATTAAAACAGTTGATGAGTAAAATATTTGTTGTTAGATTGGACCTACCTTCAGTGAGGATGGTAAATAAATAAATGTGTAAATATGTACTTATTGTCTGGTCTGTATACAGTACTTTTCTGTACAGATTTTTYGTTGCTCCTAAATTATTTCCTGTAGCAATACTTACATCCTGGTACGCATCATATTTACCCGGAAGTAAGGCCTTCTTGGTACCTGGTACCTTGAAAGTACCACATGCACTGGGCTTTATTATGGACATATTCCTATCTTAATTTGTTGAAAGTCTCTTTATAGATGTTATAAAGCTACCTCGTTTGATTTGTTTGTATCAGCTTTTCAATAAATGTGTATATTTTCTAAATAGCATGTTTTGAGTTCTATTCATGGTGCAAACACTTTAAAAAAGAAAAAAATTTACATACAAGGATCCCACTTCTCACCCACACGTGTCACAAAGATAGTTGTGCTCTGCAGTAGTGCTTTGCTCGGTGTGTTTCTCTCTGTTAGCACGTCGTAGGCATTTGTGAAGTGTGAGATGATGAGTAATCACTCCTTTTACAGGCCTGGTTCAGAACTTGTGAATTGGATTTTCAACGCTTTTTAAGGCTTTAAAATAGTTTGGGTGTATCGTTTGCTCAGTTTTGGATTGAGCTTCCCTTTGACGTAAAATGACAGTGTGTTGTTGCAAAGGGACGTGCACGGTATGGTGTGAACGTTTAAAGTGTGTCTGCATATTCAGACACCATGCCTCTGATGATGGCAACAGTCCCTTCCTCCCAGGGTTTGAGCATTCAGAACTTCAAAGTGTTGATTCTTTCAGTCCTAAGACCACCATCACCTTTGACCAATAAGGAAATGACAAAAACTTACAACAGAGTGAGAATTTGGAACCAAACTATTTATTTACACACAAAGTGCTGCAAAAGTGTAAGAGATTTTGATACTTGCACTTAAAGGGACTCATTGCAAACTATAACCCAAATGATGCAAGTTAAAAAATATTCACTCTAGTAGTTTTTTTTTAATGGAATTCTGAAATGCAGGTACACATTTAATGTAAACATAGCACTTTTATGTGCTATCTTAACAAATCTGAGCATAAATAAGCACAATTTCATCAAAGTGATCAAATTTCTCTGTCGGAAGTTTTCATTTATTTATTATTATTATTGTCGTTTAGT